AACACATTATTCAAATTATTTATACATTCTGTACTCACTTTTGCATTTCTAAGATTTGTAATGCAGTTTTTGGTCCTTGGAACGTAAACATGCCCAAATGTGTCACTTTCCTCAACTTGTATGTATGCCAAGTTACTTTGCTTTTTCCAATCCATTTCTGCAATGGCCTTATCCAGTTGTCCCCTCCTCGCTTTGTCTTTCATGGTTGATAACCATGGTAGCAGAATGCCTTCTTCATTCCTTGGATGATCTGGACGTGACTTAATTTGTACATGTTCATTCATATTTCTATGATGTAATTAACAAACTGTCTATGTTTGTTTATGTTTTTAACATTTATACAGATATGTAATTTAATAATACAATTTTTATGTATGGTGTAAATTAGTTATGAATGTACGGTATGTAAACATGAAATGTAACGTATTGGTGTTATTTAATTTTCCATAATTGTCACGTTGGCGTTAAATATAATGTATCGGTGTTATATAGTGTTCAATAATCTTCGTTTTGGCGTAACATTTAACGTATTGGTGTTATTTCATTTCCTACAATTGGCATGTTGGCGTAAAATGTAACATGTCGGTGTAAATTAATTTCCTACGTGTGGCACGTCGGCGTTAAATGAGACGTATTGGTGTTATTTAATTTCCTATGTGGGTAACGTTGGCGTGTATTAGGAGTTGAATATCGGTGTATCGGCTGCATTGATTTTAACGTTTTACTCTTTTGTATTGATTTAAACGTTTGAGTCGTACAATTTTAACGTAAAAAAATTAACTTACTTTTAAAAAATGCATACTTTGCATACACTGTACAAATGCTTTCATTCCACAGGTGTACGGTATCCCGTTGGAGGCTATGCACATTGTTGGTGGAGGAGCAGCCAGAATTGGATTTGAATTCCTATTCCAATTCCACAGAAAAGCTTTTACGAAAAGGGAAAAATTATCAGACGATTACATGAAGGTTGTTAACGAGTACATGTTGGCGTGGTCTGGAAAAACTGTAAAAGAAATGAATATGTGTGTCAGAACATTTGATGCAATAGAAGAATGGAAAATGAGGGAGACCCATGAATGCTTGATGTATCATTCAATTGCAATGCTAGCGGTTAAAGAAATACAAATTGGTTTGAAACTTGAATTAATTGATGGACTTATGTCATTTGTGGTGGCAATGCACTTAATTGGACACACCCGTCATGAATGTCCTTCAATGAAAGACATTCAGATGGCAGACTTTCTTCTTCAAAAGTACGTATTCATTTTCAAACAAATGTCTCCGTATTTTTTGACTCCCAAAAGCCACATGCTCATTCATTTAGCTAATGAAGCTAAAGCCTACCAATTGCATTTAGGAGGATTTGATGCTTACCCTTTTGAAAATTTCTTGCAAATATTTTGTGATGCGACACTTGTCAAGAGTGGGAAAAGTGTATTGAAACAAATCTTCAGTCGTCTGAGTGAGTTAGCTTGCCATGGAATTCCGAAAAATGCTTCTACATCAAAGTTTTACAATTCCTGTTTTTTTTCAGGCAGAACAAACCAGACACAGTATCCTGTGATCTCCTAGATGTCATTCAGGAAGAAGCAGAAAATTGGATGGTACAACGATTACAGGGTGCAACGTTGAAAGTGAACCAAAAATCGAAAAAGAGAAGACATCAAAGTGAAGAATCAACTGAAATCGAAGAAATCAGTATTTCAAATTACATTTTGAAAGAAATGAGGTTAATTGAAGTGTATGATAGTCAAACCTGTTCTGAAACAAAAAGGGACAGTTTGTTAATTACATCATAGAAATATGAATGAACACCTACAAATTAAGTCACATCCAGATCATCCAAGGAATGAAGAAGGCATTCTGCTACCATGGTTATAAACTATGAAAGACAAAGCAAGGAGGGGACAATTGGATAAGGCCATTGCAGAAACGGATTGGAAAAAGCGAAGTAACTTGGCATACATACAAGTTGAGGAAAGTGACACATTTGGGCATGTTTACATTCCAAGGACCAAAAACTGCATTACAAATCTTAGAAATGCTAAAGTGAGTACAGAAAGTATAAATAATTTGAATAATGTGTTGATTAATTCAGGGAATGATGATGCATTGCAGTGGCATACATACAAGTTGAGGAAAGTGACACATTTGGGCATGTTTACGTTCCAAGGACCAAAAACTGCATTACAAATCTTAGAAATGCAAAAGTGAGTACAGAATGTATAAATAATTTGAATAATGTGTTGATTAATTCCGGGAATGATGATGCATTGCAGAATTATCCAAAAAATGGTTGGAAGAAAGAATGGGACCCTCACAGGTCAGAGTACACCGGTTTCACCATGACAGAAACTGGTGTTTGTTATTGTGAAATTGGAGAAGAAGAAATAATCCCTGCCTTCATCAGAATAACAATTCTTGACGGTGGTCCTGCATTTGATGGTGATGATCCCACTGATGAAGAAGAATTGATAAACAAGTGGAATGCGAATCCTAAGTTTAGGAACAACACATTTGGCATTATGTGTAAGTGATTCACTCTTACCAATTACAATGGCCTAAAATGAAGGGTAACATTAATGATTTAAGGTTGTGTACCAATAAATTGGGTAAGCTTAAACGGAAAATACGTATTGTGGCCAAAGGAAGATGCAACAAGTGAAGACGGCGTACAACTTGAAACATTGAAAATGGATTCAGAGAAGTTCCTCTCCTCTTTCTGCATTCCTGATCCCTCTCAGATGTGGGAATACCAAATTGGAAACATTTGGTGCAAGGGTAGAATAGGTTAGTACTCTATCTTTATCTTCATTCTTTCCCATATTAACTCTTCATGTTCAAATGATATTGATGATGTTGACATGAATTGTTACATTGAAATTGTACATCTTATGACTATACAATGATGTGGTTATTAAACATGAAATGATGATAATCCTCAGACATTTGAACATGCATATGTGTATTCCAGCGTTCCACCCGGACCCATTGGTAAAGAATTCCCACACACAATACAGTCAGGGGTATGAAAACGGTCCATATCGAGGACCAGAACCACCGTCTGGTTTTGCAGTATAAGTCGTTGGTTCTTCTCAACGACTCACATTCTTGAGTAGTCCTGTCCTTTGTTCACCACTGTCACTAAAAAGGAAATCACAAGACAAACCTTGGAATCCTGCGGTACAAGTTGGAGTAAGACGTAGAACTAGCAGTCCTTATTATCCTGGTAAGTCATTATGAATACAACCTAATTAGGGGAGTTTACGTGGAGGTAATACATTTTAACTCTTTTTAATAAATTCATGAGTAATGATAAGTAAAAAATGCATTGATGTGGAATACATGAAAACATAAAAATACAAACGTGTGCAAACATTGGGGCAAACAATGCTGAAATTCATCGGCATATCATTACACATGTTTATACATCGAAATAATTGTACTTTTCATGCCAACATTCATTGGCATAGCAGGCATTACTGATGTTTGTACATTGGGCAAAAGCATAATGATTACACTTAACGTTTAAAACTAGTGAATCCAAATTTGAATTCTAACGAATAGTTTGAATGAAAGTTGATTGAAAGTAGAATTTAATTAAATGAACTTCTTGCAGATCTGCGGGACAAATTTCAAGTTTGCAGTGATGTCCGATTGCAAGAATCTGTACCTCAGTGGTTAAACACACCTTATCAAGAGATACAGCAGCCACAACATCTTCCCCTAACCGATGGACCTGCAATTCATCCTGTAAGTTTATTAGACTACAACAATACACACAATTCATCAAATATTGATTAAGCTGATACAGTCAACCCCCGTATAACAGACTTGATTCGTGCAAGGGACAAGTCTGTTAGACAAAAAGTCCTTTACGTGAATTAAATTACATAAAAAATTGAAAATTTCAATTTTCAACACTAATTTTAAACCAAAAGAAGTCTGTTTGGTGGATTTTGTCTGTTGGGCAGGAGGAAAAACTGCTTGCAGAGCTGGTCTGTTTGGCGAAAATCCCTTACATGGGAGGTCTGTTAGGGGGGGGGGGG